ACATTCTTCAATCCTAGAAGTTCCATCTGGTTCTTGTTTAAGGTATCCATTTCTTCTTTCAAGTCGTTAAAGGACTTCCTCATCTCCTGGAGCTCCTCATCTCTTTTCTCTTCCATCTCAGTTAGTTTGGTCACTACAAATATTGTGAATTCCTTATCAGACATGTCCACGATGTCCATTGTATTGACTGTGGGTGATGTAGGCTTGATGATTTCCCTTGAGGGAGAGGCCTTTTGTTGATTGTTTATAGTTCTTGAGCCTCTACGATTGTTCCTAGTCATCAGGGAATCTATGTTTCTTCCTAGCTTATTTGAAGGATCTCTGAGTGTTAAAAGTTGTACAGGATTATAAAATTGATGATTTCTCTTATGGTTGGCATACCTGTTGCTCACAATTACCATTAACTGGATCCACTAGCCCTAGATAGCCCAAAGTCCTCCCTGTTTCTAAGGAGTGGTGAGCCTCCAACTGACCTAATAAGCAACACCTCAAGAGTGAAGAAAAACAAAATGAAAAAAGTAAATCGTGCCGCACGCTATTCAAATCACCAAAATCCAGAGAGTCCAAAGGCTAGTGGGAAAGGGTCATAGGATGAGTGACAGGACCAGGTTGCTTGGGCCTGCAGTCTCAGTGCGCCTGGTGTCCAGAACCACTGGCCGGCTTGGTCCGGATTGCAGGAGGGGTGGGGTGGAAGTTTGCCTTAAAGTCCTAGACAACCAACCTGAGGTCCAAGGAGGAGGAACGGTGGGGATGCATGAAGATTCGGAAGGGTCTTGCCTGCAGCCTCAGTCCATCTGGTGTCTGGAACTACTGGCCGGCTCGATCTGGATTGCGGGTGATGTGGAGTGGGAATTCACCTTAAAGTCCCAGACAACCAATCTGGAGTCCAAGGAGGAGAAACGGTGGGGATGCGTGAAGATTCGGAAGGGTCGGGCCTGCAGTCTCAGTCCGCCTGGTGTCCGGAACTACTCTGCCACAGTTTTTCAATCCATTTATCTGTTGGTGGGCATTTGGATTGGTTCCCTGTCTTAGCCATTGTGAATACTGCCGCAATAAATATTGATGTAAAAGCAGTTTTCCAATTAAGAATTCTTCTGTCTCTGGGGTAGATACCAAGGAGTGGGGTTGCTGGATCATATGGTAGTCCTATTTGCAGATTTTTGAGGAATCTCCAAATTGTTCTCCGCAATGGCTGGAGCAATTTACATTCCTACCAAGAGTATAAGAGAGTTCCTCTTTCACTCTCACCCTCCACCCTCGTCCCCAGTCAGCACTCATCATTTTTTTTTTTTTAAACTTAGTCATTCTGACTGGGGTTAAGTGGCATCACATTGTTGTTTTGATCTGCATTTCCCTTTCCATGAGGGATGTTGAGCATTTTTTCCTTAGAGAGTGTTTTTGTTTTTTTTTTTTTCCAGTTCATTCTCTCATCTTTTCATAGGGTTAATCATCTTTTTTTGGAACTGCTGCTTGAGATCCTTGTGTATTCTGGTTATCAATCCCTTATCTGATGCATAGTTTACAAAAATATTTTCCCATTCTGAGGGCTGTCAATTCACACTAATTACTGTGTCTTTTGCCATGCAGAAACTTCTTAGTCTAAAGTAATCCTACTTGTCTATTTTCAGGATTAGCGACTGTGCTTTGGGGGTCTTATTTAAGAAGGTTTTGCCTACCACAATGTCTCCCAGAGTTTCCCCAGTGTTTTCCAGGAGCACGTTTATAGTTTGAGGTCTTAGATCGCTGATCCACCTTGAGTTGATTTTTGTCAATGGTGAGAGATAGGGGTTCAGATTCATCTTTCTGCAGGTGGAAATCTAGTTTTTCCAGCACCATTTGCTGAAAAGGATTTCCTTTTCCCACTGGATTGACTGGTACCCCTTGTCAAAAATCAGTTGATTACATGTTTGAGAATTTATTTCTGGGGCCTGTATTCTGTACCATTGGTCTACCTGTCTATTTCTGTGTCAGTATCATGCTGTTTTCATTACCACCACTTTGCAGTATATTTTTGGGTCAGGGAGTGAGATGCCACCTACTCCACTTTTCTTGTGCAGGATTGTTTTGGCAATACAAGGTATTTTATGATTCCACAAATCTTAAGATTGTCTTTTCTAGATCTGTGAAGAATGTGTCTGGTACTTTGACTGGGATTGCATTAAATATGTAGATTAATTTGAATAGAATTGCCATTTTGATTATATACTTCCAATCCAAAAACATGGGATGTTCTTCCACTTTGTTTGTGTCATTTTCAATTTCTTTTTGTAGCTTCTCATAGTTTTCCTTGGGGAAGTCTTTAACTTCTTTGGTTAGTTTTATTCCTAAGTATCTTATACTTTCTGTGGCTATGGTAAATGCAATTAGTTTTTTCAGTTCTAGCTCAGTCTGCCTATTGTTCATATATAGAAATGCTATAGATTTCTATGTGTTGATTTTGTATCCTGCAACTTTACTCTGTTCATGTATTAGTTCCAGAAATTTTGTCAGGGAAACCATTGGTCTTCTATGTATACTATCATGTCATCTGCAAAGAGAGAGAATGTCACCTATTCTTTTCTTATTTCAATGCCTTTTATTTTTTTCTCTTTTCTTATTGCATTGGCGAGGACTTCCAGTACTATATTGAAAAGGAGTGGAGAAAGTGGGCTTCCTTATCTTGTACGCTTTTTTAGTGGAAAAGCTTTCAGCTTTTCTCCATTCAGGATGATGTTCACTATGGGTTTTTCATAGATATCTTTTATTGTGTTGAGAAATTACCCTTCTATGCCAATTTTGCTGAGAGTCTTGATCATGAAGGGATGTTGTATCTTATCAAATGCTTTTTCTACATCAATTGATGTGATAATATTTTTTTTAATCTTTCTTTCTGTTAATATGGTGTACTACATTTATGGTTTTGCACATATTGAACCAACCTTGCATTCCTTGGGATAAAGCCTACCTGATCATGATGTATAATCTTTTTTATAATTTGTTGGATATGATTTGCTAATATCTTGTTGAGAATGTTTGCATCTACATTCATCAGATATATTGATCTATAGTTTTCCTTCCTTGTCCTATTCTTATCTGTTTTAAGGATAAGAGTGATCGAGGCTTCATAGAATGAATTAGGATCTTTAGAAATAACTTGAGCAGAATGGAGGTTTACTCTTCTTTGAACGTTTTGTAGAATTCAGAGGTGAAGCCATCAGGGTCAGGACTTTTCTTTGTTCGAAGGTTATTTATTACTGATTCAATCTATTGGCTTGTTATGTGCCTATTCAGACTTTCTGTATCCTCCTGGCTCAATCTTGGTAGATTACATGTGTCCAGGAATTTGTCTATCTCATCCAGACTGTCTTGTTTCTTGGCATATAGTTGTTCATAGTATCCTCTAATCATGTTTTGTGTTTTTACTATGTCTGTTGTTATACTACCTGCTTCGTTGCAGAATTGATTCACCTGGTTCTTTTCTCTCTTCTTCTTAGTAAGTCTCGCTAGTGGTGTATTGATTTCGTTTATCTTTTCAAAAAACCAGCTTTTACTTTCCTTTTTTTCTGTATAGTTTGTTTATTTTCTATTTCATTTATTACTGCTCATATCTTTATTATTTCCTTTCTCCTGGAGTTTTTGTTGTTGTTGTTGTTGTTGCTTTTCCAGTTCTCTGAGGCACCATGTTAGGTGATACTTTTGTCTTCTTTCCATTTTCCTCTTATGTGTGCTAATTGCTAATAATATGGAATGCTTCGTGAATTTGCATGTCATCCTTGCACAGGGGCCATGCTAATCTTCTCTGTATTGTTCCAATTTTAGTACATGTGCGGCTAAAGTGAGCACACATGATTTTTACCTTTATGTTTGAAATTATTAAAAATTTGAAAAGACAATTTTTTTATGAAGATGTTGAGAAACGGAATCCTCATACATTGTTGGTGGGGATATAAAATTGGTGCATCTGGAAAACAGTTTGAAAAGTCTTCAGTTGGTTAAATATAGCATTGCCATATAGTCCAGGAATTTCACTCCTAGGTATGTATCCAAGAAAAATGGAAATACATTTATGTGAAAACTTGTATGCTGATGTTAAAACCAACATTGTTTATAATAGTTAAAAAAATGTTCATCTGGGTTAGTTGATGACTGGATGAATAAAATGCAATACATCCATATAATGGAATATTCTTTGGCAATATAAAGCAATTGTATATTTACACTTGCTATAATATGAGTGGATCATGAAAACATTTTACTCAATGGAAGAATTTATAAGAAATGTTCAGGGGAACCAGCAGTTGGCATAATGGCTATGTTGCTGGACTCTCACGTAGTCGACCACAGTTTGTGTCCCAGACCCCGTGGCTTAAAACTCACACCGGGCGCGTATGCGTGCATGCCCAAGATCCCAAGAGGAGAATGGAGGAGAAGGGATTGCGGTGTGACCATTCCCCCTGGGGGGGGTGATTTCTCACTTTCTGTCTCTATGTTTATCTGTCTGTCTGGCGAGTGCACGCACCCTATAGAGAAAAGAAAAAAAAAAACTCTCCAAAAAAGAAAAAAAAAGAAATGTTCAGAATGGGCAAATCTATATGGACAGAAGTAGATTAATGATTGCTTTGGGGTAGATAGGTAGATTACAGGAAGATTAATACTTTTTTTTTTCCCCTTGAGTTGGTAATGAGATGTTTCAAATGGATTGTGTGGTGGTTACAAAACTCTTTGGACATACAAGAAGGCATTGACTTGTATACTTCAAATGACTGTACAGTATGTAAATTATATCTCAATAATGCTGTTATGGAAAAGATTAATATGGCATCAATTGAAGGTTGAATTTTAGAGTGCAGGCTAGGGGCAAAGATATATCAGGAGGTTCACTTAGGACACAAGAATTTAAAGTATGGTGTCAGTAGAGGGAATTGAAAGGAAGATAGAATGGCTATAAAATATAATATAGAGGTAGTGGGAAACAGCAGTTAGCGTAATGGCTATGTCGCTGGACTCCCACGTAGTTGACCGCGGTTCGCGTCCCGGACCTGGTGGCTTAAAACTCACGCCGGGCGCGTGTGCGTGCGTGTCCAAGATCCCGAGAGGAGAATGGAGGAGAAGGGATTGTGGCGTGACCATCCCCCCTGGGGGGTGATTTCTCGCTTTCTGTCTCTATGTCTCTCTCTGTCTGTCTGGCGAGCGCACTCGCCCTACAGTGAAAATCTCTCAAAAAAATATATAATATAGAGGTAGAATCAGTAAGAATTGTTATTTGGTTAGATATTGAATTCATGAAGGTGAAGAGGCAAATAAGACTAAAGTTTTAAGTCTGAATACCTAGAAGAGTGATGATTTTAGTTTTAAACACTAGGAACACAGATAGGAAAACAGAGTAGTTTTTCAAAGGAGGGAGATGAGTTCATAATAATTTTAGTTTTTGAAGTGCTATCAGGACAATCTTTAACAGATATCCAGTATCCAATTGAAAATTTATGATTAGAGCTTTGTAACAAGGGAGGTCTGGTTGAAACTAAATATTTAAGAAGCATCTACACATAGATAAAAAAAATTGCATCAGAAACGTAATTGAAAGCTTTCTTGGAGAGTGTGGAAAGAGAGGAGAAGAGAGCTGGAGATGGGTTCTTGCTAGAAACAGCTGTACTTATGAGGAAGCTGCAGAAAAAATAGACCAAACACAACTGAAATAGAGAGAACGTTACACAGAGAGAGAACAGTGCTAGTGCTGGTTTACTAGAAGACTGGACTTGTGTTTTCAAAGATAGGTAAAGTAAAGGAGGTTGAAGGTGTCCTAGGAAGTAAAAAAAGAGCAGTCACAAAATTAAAATAGAGACTGGTGTGGGTATGATGGAAAAAAAAAATATATATATGTGTGTGTGGAGAGGTTTTTGTTATAGGGTACATGCACTCACCAGAAAGACAGAGAGATAGAAAGTGAGAAATCACCTCCTAGGGGAGATGGTCATGGTGCAATCACTTCTCCATTCTTCTCTTGGGATCTTGGGCATGCACACACACACGCCTGGCGTGAGTTTAAGCCACTGGGTCTGGGACTTAAACCGTGGTCAACTACATGGGAGTTCGACAACATAGCCATTATGCTAACTGCTGGTCCCTGATGGAAAATATTTTAAAGGTGCTGAGACTTACCTACCATAGCTTCTTGATGAGACCTGGGAATCAAAAGAAATTTCTGACCTGTTGCAACTGGAAATCTTTTGCTACCCTTTCCAGGTGAGGTGCTCACATATCAATGGAACATCCCAGAAAGATCTGGCCCTGGACCCAATGACTCTGCTTGTGTTTCCTGGATCTATTATTCTGCAGTGGAACCCATCAAGGTAAAGAAAAGATGGACTGTCTAGTGGTGGGTGTCAGAAATGGGCAAACTGCCTGGCATAAATAACCTATTAAACAATTGTAATGAGAAGCCCAGTCCTGAGATACTAGAGTCTAGGATTTGGGGAAAATTTCTCACATGCTGCACTTACTTTAATAGACAAAGACATGGGGTGAAGGGAATGGATATTTGGATATTTTTTCTAAAGATTTTCTTCCTTTTTTCTTCTTTTTGGATTCTGTAAGACAGCATAGTCTCATTAAAACAAAATAAAATGTGAGGTTAGTCATCAGGAGAATGGGGTTATAGTTCTAGGAGGTTACATTTGTCTTTGATATAACTTTAGATGAGTGATTCTGCCTTTTTTTCATATAGAAAATGGGTTCATCTATCTCACTCCCCATCTACAGTCAGCCATCAGCAATCATTTATTAAGCAATATATATATA